CTGGCTTACAGCGCACATGAATGTAGTCTCTGTACAAGTACTGGGCAAATTTCGGAGTGACTATTCCATTGCCGATGCTGCCTGGATGTGGACACTGTACCTCTTTAAAAAAGAAAATTGGACTAATGAAGATTAGCACCACAGATATTTGAGGATTTATAATATTACTGTTCTGGTATCTACTGTTCACAAAATTCTAACCTTTCATTGAAGTAAACCCTGTTGAAAAATCCAGCATATGCTGGTTAGGTATTATTTGAAGAATGGCTGCTGGTTTGAACTGGTTTAAGCTGGTCATGTACTGGTCCTAAGCTGGTCCTGAGCAGGAGCTAGTTTCTTAGAACCAGCTTAGGACCAGCACATGAACAGCTAAAAATTCAGCTCATGACCAGCTAAGGACCAGCTTAAACCAGCTCAAACCAGCACCCATGCTTCAAAACATACCTAACCAGCATATGATGGTTTTTTTTTTCAACAGGGAAACGACTGAAAGTGGGGGGGAACTAGGGTTGCAAAGGGGTGAAAAATTTCCAGTAAATTTCGGACTTTTTGCAACCCTAGGGGGAACTCAAATTATGAAATAACTGTTTTTCCCCAATGCATGTTGGCCACAATTATTGGCACCCCTAGAAATTCGTATGAGTAAAATATCTCTGAAGTATATTCCCATTCATATTTAGATTTGTTACCACACCAGGGGACTAGGAGCATGAAACTGTCCAGCCATGACTTCCTGTTCCACATAAAAAGTACCCCATGCTCACAGTTAAATATACTGCTGTATCTTTAATGTTGTGGGCCTATTTTCTGCCTGGAGGTCCTGGACATCTTGTTCAGATACATGGCATCATGGATTTTAGCAAATACCAACAGATAAAAATTCTAATCCTGACTGCCTCTGTTAGAAATCTTATAATGGGCCGTGGTTGGATCTTCCACCAGGACAATGATCCAAAACAAACATCAAAATCAGCACAAAAATGTGTCACTGAGCACAAAATGAAGTTTCTGCCATGGCCGTCCCAGTTCCCTGACCTGAACCCTGTAGAAAATGAGTGGGGTGAACTGAAGAGAAGAAGAACCAACATGGAGCTGGGAATCTGAAGGATATGGAATGATTCTGTATGAAGGAATGTTCTCTGATCTTTTTCTTGTCAGGTGTTCTCCAAACTCATCAGGCATTATAGGAGAAAACTCGGAGCTGTTATGGGAAAAGGATGTTGCAATAACTGGGTGCCAAGAATTGTGACCAACGTGAACTAGAGAAAAACATTTATTTCATAATGTGAGTTTCCCACACTTTCAATTGTTTTACTTCAACAAAAGGTTAGAATTTTGTGATTTTTTTTAATTAAAGAGCAAAAGGATAAACAATGCAGATGTATTTTCACAGCCACTTTTGCTCATATTTACCAAGGGTGCCAATATTAGTGGAGGGCACTGTAGATAGACATTTACAGCAAAGCATACTTGCAGCCAATGGAAGAGGCAGGACTCTCCTTGACTGTAGACCTGCTCTATGGGGAAGTTCTGGCTGAAGTTGAGAGTAATCATAAAGCCTGGCTGCACAGAGATGGTGTAGATGCAGTCCAGATCAAGCGGGGACGTCTCTGGGAAACTAGGACTCGAGATGGTCCCCTCTAATTCACTGTGCACCCCACCTCCACACTCCACTAACACAGGGAGGAAACACACACCACTTGGTTATCATTATTTTCACCTGTATGTAAACTATGATAGTATACTATGGTAGTTTTTGCTAACGTTTTGTTGATATTTTGAATTAGCTTTTATTTTTATATTGCTTTTATTTATAATCAACATAAACTGTGTGCAGGAAATATAAAGATCACAGCGCCTGGGTTTTTATTAATGAACACACTCACAGACGCAGGTGCGTTGGTCAGGCCGTATCGTGTAACCGTGGTAACAGGAACACAGGTAGGAGCCGAGGGTGTTGAGGCATATCTGTGAACATGGTGGACCATTTTCCACACTGGAAGAGGAATACTCATCTATGTCTAAGGGAACAGGTATAGGAGCATTAAACGATGTATTGCTACAGCACTGAATTATTTAATTGTGTTTAATTAAATAACATCATACGACACAATCAGCAGTACTGTTGTTCCAATATTCAGTATATTGCTTTTATACAACAGTTAAATAAACAATAAATAAATATTTATCAGCTTCAATTTTAGACACAATATTTTACACCAGTTAGTGTGTCAAGTTTTGTTGCGTCAATGAAAATAGTTCCAAACAAGCCAACCAATAATTGATTCCGAGTTACAGAGCAACACACCATAGTGGAATCAGTGTTTTTAAATAAAACGGTTGAGCGAATGATTCAATGACTCTCTTATAAAGACAGTCACTTGCCTGCACCAACTATGGTGTATTGATGTATACCGTAGATAGTATCAGTTTCCATCCAAAGTTGGGAATTTGTCTTATTGAATTTAACTTATAGAACATTGGAAGATTGAACAAACAATTGCGAATAAAGCACATTTTCCATCTCACGTGTCCAAAAGAAGAAAACAGTCGCTTCCTGTGAAATTGGCACAAAATATATACAATGAAAGTAGAAGTTGCTGCAACTGGTAGCGCCTCAGATGTGTGATATTTGGGATTGCAGGTTATTCAGTTTTGTGCATATCTTCTTAGAGGATAAAAAAAAAAGATCATAATTGCATGCCTTAGCATTTCTGTTCAGTGTTTTTTGTATCCCAAAAATTGATGGAAAAACAGCTACAATCACTGGAAAATCCCCACGTTTAATACACAAACAGGCCTGTATGGAATGCACAAACACAGGCAAGTGGAGTGATACACTACACTCTTGGAACACCACTCAAAGCCAATCAAATTCTAGAACTGCTGTGTAAAAGAGATCTGTTTTACATCCTTATAGAATATTAGGAGAAGTAAACATACTACAACACTGTTTTGTTTGTAATATGCTTCAAACATGACTCACCAACAGCCTGGAAGAATGCAGTGAATCCCAAGTGTGACTCATGATTTGAGTCATCCGTTAGAAAAACCAGCTGAAGACGGTTACCAGTAGCCAAGATGGGCTTGTCAACTGGGTGAAACCTGTCTGTGGAATTCCGTCCACAAAACTTCCCCAGAACCTTCTTATCAGACACAACCTGCACGTAAAAAAAATCACACGTGCTTATGTATTACAAAATACATAGACCTTGCTAAATAAATGTCTTATAAAGCCAAATGATAGTAGTCACAATGACATTTCAAACCTAATTTATATGTAGTGCATGAAGTTTTACTTTTTTGCCCTTATTCCCCAACAAAACACAGTACGAGGTATGGATTGTGCAACTCAAATGAGGTCCCAGCACTCGAGCATTGTGTATGAAGACATCCACATGATACAAGTTCTAAGATGAAGCATCACTAACAGTGACAGAATCGTAGTAAGAGTCTGGAGAGGACTCAATGTCCAGGTGATTGAATGTCAGCTGGAGCTGGTAGCCTTGTGGCACCTCCAGGTCCCATTGTTTCTGGAGATTTGCTGGATAGGGTTGAGGGTACTGTGGAGAAGACACCTCCCCAAACATGGCCGGCTCACACTCGCACACATTCATACATGCCCACAGCAGGCTGAATCAGTGTTTCAGTAGAAAACAGAAAAAGATAAAAATCAATCGTTTTGCTGGAATAATTGAGTTAATTTACTAAATACACATTATAAGATTGTTGCAAAGCGTTGACATTCACCAATGACTGCTATTAAATGAATCACACAATTTAAATCTATTTTATAATATATGCAAATTTGAAGATAAAATCTAAAAACAATTTACCATATTATTAGATGTACTCTATCCATAACAAACATGCAGATGTCAGTAGCCGTTTGACTAAACTGTTAATGCAGTCATTAATTTTTCTTGTGGTAAAGTGCATGTGGTTAACAATCGCATATAAGAGAACAAGAGTCTAAAAGTCATCAAAAAAGGTAAACTTGTTTGCTTTGGCTATGGCAGAAGAAAGAAAGAGAGGGAGATATGTGACTACTTTTCCCGTAAACCATGTGTTTTCAACCTGCTTACTCAAACAGTAAGGGTTAAAGTCTACAGAGATCATTTTCATGCATCTTTTCTTTACAGATTATTAGATGTTCTCACTCTTGTGAAATACAAAGGAGTTCCTAAAGTAGTTTTGAGGTAATAAATCACAATTTACAAATCTCCGCTGTTTGACATGGGATGCAACGGAGGTAGAAAACCTTTAAAAGTCACAACAAAAGTCAGGTTTGTTTGATTTGGCTGAAGAGGAATACTAATCTGGAACACTAATCTGGCACCACTGCAAGGCATGAAAAAAGAGAGATATGGCAGGCTGGGCAGCCCATGAGCACTTTACCTGCTGGATTACCTATTAAATTAGTTTAATGTTACTAAAATTGGACAAAAAAGGCCTTGCCAGAACATTTTTTTATAAAATAGGAAATAAGAGACTGAAATTCTTTACTTGTGAAAATGGTTTAATTGGTGAGTATAAAACAACTTCATATAAAAGTTTCAAAATTCTGAATTATTAATGGAAATAGCAGATGCCTATACATCAAACAGATACAGCAGTGAATAACTTTATTGGTGTGTATTACAATTAACAATTGGTGTATTTTTGTGATTTGATGTTAGTTTTTTCCCATGGTTTCCTTGATCCAATCCACGTAGTTTTGAACTTTAGTACAGAAGCCCTTAAAGCTTTTATTCCCACATCCAATAGGACGATAAGGCTTGTCTGGATACCCATAGCCCAGAACAGGAGAAAACAAAGGACCTCCACTGTCTCCTTGACAACTGTCTACTTGGTCTCCTCCAGCACAGATCATGTTATCAGTGATAGGCAAACCCACTGAATCACATTCATCAAGTTGATATATCTGGACAGGTGCATGAAGCAGATATCTACTAATTCCTTTTTCATATCTTCCAAAACCTGAGATTGTGGCCTCTGCCACAGGTTCATCTGTTTTGTTTGGTAGACACACTGACCTGATGTTTGGGCCTATAGGCACCCTTTTAGTCATTTTCAATATCATAATCATAGTTAGATGGAGAACCAGTACCAACTCGCTGATAATTTGGGTGAATTATTATCTTCTCAGTCTCCATAGTGACTGGATTTTGACTTTTACCATCAATTATTCCCCCTAACCAATTCATGGTGTTTTTTTCATATCCATCCACTACGTGAGCTGCTGTTACAGCCCAGTAATCATTGATTAAAGATGCACCACCTCTGGGACTTTCTCTATGAAAGAGCTGCCAGGGAATCTGCTTCAATAAAGCTGGCTTCCCACCAAAGACTCTGCCACCAATAGAGGCCTCTGTATTAATTCCACACACTAAAACGTGAGAGAGAAATATGAAATGCATGAAAAGGAGATATAAAAGATAGGGTATATCTGGGTTTATAGGTGTAATCAGAATGACTGAGTACCTGGTTCACATTTAGGCAAATCTTCTGTTAATTGTTGACCACTCTCAGACACCCAGTTACCCTCAGCATTACAGGTCAAATTACCTGAGGAAAGTGAAGATAGTGAAAAATGTCAAACTTATTAGTATTTTGTTAAGAATTACATCAACGTAGTTCACATAAACCATACACATCTCACCATTTTTATCCAGTTGATAATATACATTTTCGCACTTAAGACTGATCTGGTTCAGATAAGTTGTTGGAGGATCTTTATCTGATAGTTCCATTAATTCAGGAAGCTCTGGAATGCCGCAATCCACAGCTAAGGAAGAAAACAAGAGGAGTGTTTTCTTCCTCTTCTTTTTTTAATGACACATTAATATTTTTTAAGCTTCCCACATTTTGGATATGTCTCCAAACCTAGTATGCTTCCAAAAAATTTCTGGGCATTGTACTGTCGGTGTGCTCACCATGCATACCACAAATTGTGTGAGCTTGTAACATTGCATCATGTCATTTACTGTATAGGGAGAACAGCAGTGAAAACAGCCAATTTAATTCAAAGGATTAGAGAGAGGGAGGAAAATGGTCAGTTAAAAATGAATTATGTCTTCCCATGTACAGTATATCTTTAAAAAATGCAACTTGTTCAGACATCAAGAAAAAAAGGCATTATAAGAAGACATTTTCTCACGTTCACAGGGGATAACAGGACTCGGGATAGCATGTGGCCTCATACTCAACCTCAGCTGATTCATGCTATGGAATATTTTATGCTAAATGTGAGTTTCAGAGATTAAAAAAAGGTTTGACTCATAAACTACAGCATAAAGTACATGCTGATATATCATGCGACTGATATCATCTAACACCAAAAACATACTATCCAAATTTTAAAACAATATACAATTCAATTATATTGATTAAAATATCCTTACCGGTAACACTTTCTATGAAGCTCTTATTTATAATTCTTTATACGGGTATTCTTAAGGCATTATAATTAATGCATAATGCATTATAAAAACATCATAATATATTGTATCATCTCATAAATAATAATTATAATACATTATAAATCATCATACTCTTAAAAGCTATAACCACAAATAAGTATTATAATACATTAAAACTGTTCTTATGATTATTTATGAGATGAAACAACATATCATATGGTTTTTTTATGATGCATCATTCATTCATTATAATGCCTTAAGAATACCCTTATAATGTATTATAAATACGGGCTTCATAGAAAGTGTTACCTAATTTCCTAATATAATAATATTCTATTAATTATTGTCAATTTAATTAAATTATATTTCATGAGACTTTCTTTACTAATACATTTTATATTAATACAATTATTTGCTCATTTATACTAATACAATATATATAAAATATATTATTATTAATAAAATATAATTTACTAATAAAATTAGTTACTAATTTATAATAATAAAAAATATACTACTTTACTAATAACATTTTATATTGTACATTTTAATTGATATTTAAAAATACATTTTCCAAAATGTTTCTCAGCAAACCCATAACTTAAATCTGTGGCCCTTCAGCCTGAGAAGGTAAAATCAATCAGCCTGAAATACTTACTGATTTCAATACATGTCCTTTGTCACATTTCACTGTAACTTTGTAGCCTGTGGGATATTCAGAATCCTGCGGGTACAGACTAGATTTTGGTGTCACAGGTCCAGTACATTTCATCTCTGTCAGAAAGCAAATAAACAACAACATAACATGTTAGGAAACAATTCTCAGCACTTCAATCAACAATCAATATTCAGATCAGTGATCCTTCAAATTAGTTTTTCAATGGCAGATTCTCAGATCATGTGCTCCCACCAAACCTGAACATGCAGTATATTGTTGTTTAGTTTTAATGATGGGGGGCAACAGGCACACCTCTTGTTTTGTAATAGAGGCTAAACCCTCGGTTTGCTCCTTTATGGTCTGTCCTGAAGATAATCTCAACAAGTTGAGACCTTGTGAGCAGGGACGAAGGGACATCCCTTCCACAAAATGTCTTAACGTCACCAGAGAGAAGTTTTATCTAGGAGGAATGGATATGGAAAGAGAGAAGAGGTCAATGAGGAGAAATACAAGACTGGTTCAAATATTGAACTAAACATGTTGCATACACTCTTAAAAAAAAGGGTTCTTTGGGGTTCTATATAGAACCCTAGGTTAATGAGATCGATGCACTCTCCATTCTGTTTCATTTTCACATCAAACACCCCCGTGAACGTCAGCTCAAACTGCAGACCTTCTTCTACGGCCACAGTGTAAGAACACACAGAGTTTTCTGGGTACGGCCCAGGCCACTCAGGTGACATCAACACACCTTCTTGTGAGCCTGTGCGATCTTCACTGCAGCTAACTGACACAAAGAGAGAAAACAAAACCGTGTCAGACGCTGTCTTGATTCATACTGTCTGTCTAAACACTAACAGAATGAAAAATCACATTATTATTATGAGCGCATGCTGCAGTCATGTCATCTGCCATGTTAAAGTGCCCCTATTATGGATTTTTGAAAATGACCTTTCATGCATGCAGTGTGTAACACAGCTCTAAGTGAATGAAAACATCCTGCCAAGTTTTAAATCTGAAAGTGCACCGTGTATAAAGTTATTGTCTCTCTAAAGAAAGAGTCGACTCTGAGTCATTGAAACGAGTCGTTTTTAAAACGAATCCCAAGCCGTTTCATGTTGACGTCAACATGAAACATTAGCATATTGCCCGCCCACTTGTTGGTCTTTTCCCGTTGGTCTGAATGAAAATGCAAATTCATTCTTTGCCACTAGGTGCTGATTTTGGAGTGGTAAAAATAGCGGTTTCCCCGGTAATGCTGTACACAAAGCAGCACTGCACTCACAAACGCTGCTTTATCAGGCTTTACAGGCAAGATTAAATGAAAATGAGACGAAACGAATCGTTTGGGAGTCATTGAGCAAGTAAGGTAAAAATAAATGCATATTATAAGACAATGAAAGTGTTTTTTGACCTTGCATGCATGTCAACCTGTTGTTGGGGACTCCCAAAACCAAAATATGAACCTTTCATAACCCATAATAGGGGCACTTTAAACGCTCAAGCTCTTGGATTCAGGTTGGCTTTCAATGTTTTAATCATTCATCACTTGGAAAAATTAATTCTGAAAGTGATTCCAACAATATATTTTCTCTGTGGAGTTCCCTATTCTCTTAGAATTACAATGATTATTAAAACTTAATAGTTATAGTCTATGGTGTGAATGGCCCTTTAGTCTTGTTGCTATGCTGATTGTTTAGCACATTTTAATATTTTTCTTAGTGGAAGCATATACAAATTATGAAAATATTTTATTTCAAATGAATATTTCATGTCCATGTATTCATTTGCTTGCTAAGTAGCTATGTAAAATGTGTAATAATAAAAACAATTTTTTATTTTTAATAATGACTGGCTAAACATGACAGCCAAAATACATGTCTCAAAATCTCATTCATTACCTTGGCAGGTGTGCTTATCAGAGTCAAGGATGTAACCTGGTCTGCAGAAACAGCGATAACCTCCAATGTAATTATTGCAGAGTTGGGTGCACTCATTTTCAGGGTCCATACACTCATTAACATCTAAAAGTCAGACAGATTTGAGGTTAAAACTCAGATCAGCAATAACTGATAACACTCTCAGCGACCCACAAATAATCTCAAATGCTTTCGGCCCTGTAGTCAATGTATTACTCATTATGTTTCTCACCCTGTATGGTGTAAAAGCCTCGAAATCCAGTGTGTCTCTCAGTGTTTGAGTAGTCTGCAAGAAATGAAACAGAGAGACAACCACCAGGGGAAGAGTGGAGGAAAGGGTTGACAGACGCCTGCAGCTCCTTCATGGACTTGTGTCCACATAGAGTGAAAGAAGCACCTCATCTGCAAATAACTGGAGAAAAATAGTTGTCACTTACAAATACACAAATCTAAAGAATCTATGTAAAATATACACTGTAGTAGATCTTTTCACACAAACACTCTCTTGAAAGGAATAGTTCACCCCGAAATGAAAATTTGCTGAAAATTTACTCACCCTCAGGCCATCCAAGATATATGTGAGTTAGTTATGTCATCAGAACAGATTTGGAGAAATTTAGCATTACATCACTTACTTACCAATGGGTGCCGTCAGAATGAAAATCCAAACAGCTGCTAAAAACATCACAATAGTCCACAAGTAATCAGCACAACTTCCATCTTGTGAAGCGAAAAGCTGTGTGTTTGCAATAAACAAATCCATAAAGATGTTTTTAACTTCAAACCATTGCTTTCAGCTAAAATATGAGTCCCATCCATAATATTGCCTACTCCAGTGAAAAATTAACCTTGTCTGAAATATGCACACATCAAGCACCATTTACAAGCAAAAACAGTCCAAAACAGTCTGTGGATTTTTATGTGAGAGGGCAACAGGGGGTGGATATTTTCACTAGGGGAAGCAATATTATGGATTATGGAGTATTTTAGCCAGAAGCAACGATGTAAAATTAAAACACCTTAACACAAGATGTTAATCGATGGGCTGGATCCGTGTCGATTACTTGTGGATTATTGCAATGTTTTTATCAGTTTTTTTAACTCTCATTCTGATGGCACCTATTCAGGGCAGAGGTGAAAAAGTGGTGTAATGATACATTTCTCCTTATCTGCTCCAATGAAGAAACAAACTCATCTACATTTTGGATGGCCTTTTCATTTTGGGTAAACTATTCCTTTAACATAAAACTGCACTTCTAAGTGCACAAAGATACAATTTGCATTTTGTACACACACCTTTAAGGCATCATCCTCACACTCAAAGCTTTCTTCTAGGTCCAAATGTATTAGAGTGAGTGTGATTTTGTGTCCAGTTGGAGCACACAAGTCAGGTTGGAATGGGGATCATACCCTCGTGGATGTCCAGGTGACTGCACCCATCCAGCCAATAACACTGACCCACACACGGGAAAGAGAAGGACACTAACACTGGACAGGAAAGGAAAAATCAGGAAAAACATAACAGAAAACGAGAGAAAATAGTAGGAAAAAAATGAGTAAAGTAGAAAAGAAAGGGATAGACAAAAAAAAGGAAGCATGCAGTGATAGATAGATAGATAGATGGATAGATGGATAGATGGATAGATAGATAGATAGATAGATAGATAGATAGAACATTCAAACTTATAATCCATGCAACATTTTGTTAGAGGAAAAATACTATGTAGAGAAATAAATTCATACCAAAAAACGATCATGATGAGTGTTAAAACACAGACCGCTTTCTCCTTCTGCACTTTCACTTTCATGCTCTGTGTGCATCATCATGTCCAGCCCTCTTTTCCCCTAAAAAACAGTCAACATAAACTGAATGTTTCCCAACATCTGTCAGTGGGCGTTCACCTTGAACTGATGTGAACTGGAGGGGGAACATGTAGTGACTGCTCCAGACAGACTGTTGTGGGGATATACATCATATTAACATTAATTGAATTCATTTAAAGCATATTCAGTTCATGTTCAGTTCATTCAGTTAAAAAAAAAGTATATTGAACTTTTCATTGTAATTTGAGTTCACAATTTAAAATAAATAAATAAATAAAAGTCAACAGCTTTACTAATACGAACACTTATTCAGTTAACTGACAACTTATGCATATGAGCCAGAAACACATTTGGCTGCAGTACAATGCTGAAACCCATGGATGCACTTTGACCGGACAGTATGCCGCCTGGTGTCAGAAATGAAAAAGAGAAGAAAGTGAGGGGTGGAGACATAAAAGAGGAAGAAAAAAAATGAGTCAAATATAGATGAAATGGAAAAGGGAGAGAGTGAGAGGGAGAGACGAGAGCAGGTTTAGAGGGTAAGAAGAGAGATGGGGGCACGGAGGAAGACGAGGTTATCTGCACTGTATTTTTTGGATGTTTTCCAACTATTTACCGTAATAACCACACAAAAAAGGTCAAACAATGTCATTACAAAATGTTGCATTGTATTCTGATAAGTCATTTTACAGCAGTTTGCTAGTATACTATGTACAATACATTGGTGTATAGAGCTGTTTAGTTCTATTTGTGATTGCTGTGGTGTAGTTTTAGAAAATATGTAGATGTGCATACACATTACATTTAATATTTTCTCTAATGCAACAGTACATTTACCAATTACATTACATGACCATTGCCAATAAATTCCACAAATTATGCTATATTACCAATCACTCACTCTCATATATTTACCTACAAATGAGCTAAGTAAGCTATAAGTCACCAGACAAAGGAAGTAAAACAGAAAGCTTTATTTAACACAAAACTAAGGAAGTAAAATTGTTCACTATTACAGTGTAGGCCATGATTCCCACTTCTGTTGTTGTTGCAAACCTGAAGTTTTGCCTCTTTTTTTTTTTTTTTTTGTTTTGAACCCAACCGCTGGGTCAAAACAACCCAATAGCTGGGTTTGTCCCTTTTTAACCCAGCATTTTTTAGAGTGTACAGTTGAAGGGTTCCTATTTGGGGTTCCATGCCATCAAAAAGGTTGAAAACCCTGATCTACAGTATGTATACCTCAGATAACATAATCATTCAAATATAGTGGATCTTTATGACACCATTAGTTCTTATGAATATGCTTTGGGAGACTGATTAGATGAGTTTGTTTACATCACAAGCATGATTAAAACACCTAAATGTACACAGTATGTTTTTGTTTAGTGTCTGTTCCAACGACAGCATATTTGATCTTAGCTATATGTTGGAGATGAATATTGTGAAGAAAGACCTTTTTTCATAAATTATAGAATAAAATATTATATACTGATATGCAGAGGGTTCTGTGTCCCACCGCACGCCAGCACTCGCATCAGAAATTACAGTAAAGATATGAAACTACACTGTTAACAGTTCTGACCAAATGAGGAAAAGAGTAGGAACAAATGCACACACATTCTCACCGTGATGGTATTGTCTTCCACAAAGCTGTCTGTGGGTTTTACATTTACATTTAGTCATTTTGCAGACGCTTTTATCCAAAGCGACTTACAATTGGGGAATACATAAAGTGATTCTTCTTAAAGAGGCAAATAGACACAGGAAGTGCTCATAATACCAAGTTTCAGGCATTTGTTCAAATAAGTACAAGCTAGAAAGGAAAGGAAATAAATAAAGATTAGGATGAAGTCAAGGTTTTGAAGTCAGGGACACAAGATGTGTTAAAATAAAATCCTTGAATTTGACATTATTACAATTTTAATCTCCTTTCTAAATGTTCTTTGAAAATCATGAGCTAAATCATAATTATTTTATTGTTTTGACAACCATTGTTTGTATGTTTCTAACTTGTGGGTAGAAAAATGATACAATGTTAACTTATTAAAAAGTAAATATTGCCTAGATGCTATTTTACACAGGTATATATATATATATATATATATATATATATATATATATATACTATAAAATTAGTGTCTGTTCCAACGACAGCATATTTGATCTTAGCTATATGTTGGAGATGAATATTGTGAAGAAAGACCTTTTTTCATAAATTATAGAATAAAATATTATATACTGATATGCAGAGGGTTCTGTGTCCCACCGCACGCCAGCACTCGCATCAGAAATTACAGTAAAGATATGAAACTACACTGTTAACAGTTCTGACCAAATGAGGAAAAGAGTAGGAACAAATGCACACACATTCTCACCGTGATGGTATTGTCTTCCACAAAGCTGTCTGTGGGTTTTACATTTACATTTAGTCATTTTGCAGACGCTTTTATCCAAAGCGACTTACAATTGGGGAATACATAAAGTGATTCTTCTTAAAGAGGCAAATAGACACAGGAAGTGCTCATAATACCAAGTTTCAGGCATTTGTTCAAATAAGTACAAGCTAGAAAGGAAAGGAAATAAATAAAGATTAGGATGAAGTCAAGGTTTTGAAGTCAGACCTCACTTTTTCCTGATATTTAGGTCCCACTGTGTGATTCAGAGCAGGTAGCAACAGATATTTGCAGATGCATTTTGCTAAAACATTCCTGCCCCAATCCAGAAAGAACTTAGAAAGAGTTATAGCCTAATATTATTCAGAAATCTTATTAAAACAAACTAAACGTTTAAGCATAAAACACTTCATGTCAGTAGCTTTTGCTAACACAATACACTTCCTCACTTTTACAGTTAGTGTAAAACCTAGAGAACTGCCTCATTATCTCGAACCTTTGGCAGTCTAGCAGTAATTGAAACAGCTGTTTTAGTGGATGTCATGAGTAATGTTGACTGCTGTAATCTAATCACACAATAACTTCTCAATAAACTGAGGTCTCATGTTGACATTGTCTCTGTGTGCCTCAGGGGTTTATTGCTGCACGAACAGGAAGGAAGGCAAGAGAATGCAAGCTCAAGTGCAGAGGCTGGATAGAGGTAGCGGGGCTTTCCAGCGCAGAGGGCAGAAAAAGAGTAACAGAGGGGGTAAAGAGTGGGTGACGTAAAAAGATACAGAAAGGAAAGAAAACAATGATTCCCCTACCTGCAGCGGATGAACTGAGACACCCCACAAAAAGACAAAGCAAGCAAGCGTGACAGACAAACAGAAAGAAAGAAAAGAGAAGAAGACAACTGACGCAATAGCTCGGGTCAGCATGACCGAATAATCATCAATTCCTTGGTAACTTGCGTGAACGGATCAAGACATCACTTCCATAATTGGTGTTAAGGGGTGTACAAGTCAACAGACTTCATATGACTGCACAAAACTGTTCACACTGAAAGGACCGAATCGAGAAAACACTGAACGTAGTCAAGATGGGAGATGTGAAATGCAGCACATGTCCAAAAGGTGGGATTTCTATACTGTATCGATACTGTAAAACAGCTGATTTAAAAAGTTATGGGAAGTTATGCATTTCTGTTAGAATATTTTTATATATAATATAATGGGAATGTTAGCTGTTTTTGCTATATTAGAATCTATTACAGTGTTTAATGTAGGCTTGTTTCACTTATTGCTCGTCAAAATACTTTGAACAGCTTTATGAAAGCAGTTCACAAACCACTGTGTGAGAATAAACGATCAAGATCGATCCTCTGCTTTTTATTACTGCTATTTTTACAGCGACATGATTTGAAGTTCATTTACATTCAATTCGCCTGTGTTTTGTGCTAATTTAGAGACACAGCTTGCCATTCAATTGACTGTAAGGCACAGGGTATTATTTTTACTCATCACATTGTTTTTATCAACGTGAAATCAGCCCACTCTGGCGTACTCAGGAAATCCTGTACTGTAACCCTGCTAACAACTGAGCTTTGATGGTTCCTGGAATTTACGTATAAAATAACACAGGACATTCTGTATCAATTTGAAATAATGACATATAAGGTGGACTAATATGTATGTATTCACCACATTTTAAAACAAAACAGCATTTAATTAATGAAAGATAGCTCAGGGGCACCTTTCCATTAAAATATTTCACAATGAGCTTATGTTTTAAATTTTAAAACTGTATATAATTGAAATGAAGCCAAAAGGCATTTGAACACTTTCTGGCTATACAGACTTCAGCGGAGGATGTTCATAGTTAATGTGCTGAACTACACCTATGGTTATTCTGGTAGGACACCTGTGTGAACTTGAGGAGAACTGACTTCATACTGTACATGCATGAAAAATTATCATTTGAGAAGTATCATTTGTTTGCAGTTACCACTTGGTTTGATGTTTTTTTCTACTGCAATGAAATCCATACAATTAAAAAAACAAACAAAAAAAAACATACATATATATATATATATATATATATATACACAGTGGGTACGGAAAGTATTCAGACTTCAGACAATTTTTCACTCTTTGTTATATTTCAGCCATTTGCTAAAATCATTTAAGTTAATTTTTTTTCCTCATTAATGTACACACAGCACCCCATATTGACAGAAAAACACAGAATCGTTGACATTTTTGCAGATTTATT